GTCGATCTTAGCTAAAAAATCTCACTTAGTATAGCGTAATTATTACTTCTATTTTAAACGAATTTCTAGTATTATTTTTGTTGAAGCATAGTTAAATGAATTAGGAAAACAAATATTTTGTTTGTTGAGTTCGATATCCTGTCGTGAAAAATTTCAAATAACACAAGCACTCTGATGGTATTTATGGTTATATAGAATTAATAATGTGTGAATTCACGACCTCCTGCATGAATTGACACATTTGCAATACTGATCTCAGAACCTTAGAAATGCACTTCAAATGCAGTCAAAATTTTATGAAAATGACAGTGTTCGTCACCTTAGAACTGGTTTGCCGCATATCCAGATCGCGTCCGAGGGATTTTCGCCTCTACTGTTTGGTGCAGATTTGCCGCATGTCGCACTTGGGCGAAGCGAAACATAGTTTAGTTTCAGTGTTGATTTGCCGCATGTCCAAGCAGAAATCGATAGAGTACCGTTATCCGTTTTTACGTACCTACTTCCTTGCTGTTTTGCTTTTCAGCGTTAGGTTTGGGGTTGGGAAAGAAATCGTATTCAACTTCACGCGCAGAACAATAAGAATAATGTGAAATAAATAAAAAAGAGACTTAACAATTTTGATGACTCTGAAATTAAAAAAAAGCAACTGTAATTTGTGCAACTCTTTTTCTGTTGTTATAGATGTTACAAATATTTTTGATTTTTTTTTTTAAGAAAGATTGAGTTTCAAATTATTAGATTCGAAATTTTACAAATTTAAATTTCAAATAGATTTGTTGCTAGTAAACAAATAATTTAATTTTTTACTTAAGAGTAACATTTTTATTTAATGATTTCTCGGAAATGATTGAACTTATTTTCTCTAAAATTTTAGTCAACAAAATTCATAATGCTGCATACCTGTATTCTTATTTGTGGAAATGATATTTCCACATCAATAATTACAGATAATAATAGATACATTTTTCGGGGATAATTAAGATTAAGATTTCTTAATCAACTTCACGCGCAGAACAAGTAATACGGCAAGGATTAATAATGCGAAATAAATGAAAAATTGAAACGATATTAGAAATCGCGTGATGAAGTAGTTAACTAAGTATAACGAACAATGAATGTTAAGTTATTGATGTTTTGATTCGATTTTTTCTAAATATTTTTAAAATAAAGAGACTTATTTTTCTTTATTTTTATATAAAATCTACATTTGATAAAACTCATTGCAGTCATTCATTTTACCTAAAAATTGTAGAATCCAAATATTGCATTGTTAATTTCCATTGTTAAATGGTGAATTGTGAACGAAATACGGAGTACCAAATTTAAATGTGTTTTACAGAAATAAATTATTTTTACAAAGGATAATAAAATGATATTTTCTTTGCATTGGCGGAGTAAAGGCGGCTTGTTGACTCGCTGCAGTCCTACTAAAATTGCAGCTTAATATGTAATTTTTTTATATAAAATATTCAAATTCATAAAGAACACTCGGGTAAAAATAGGTTGTTGTCTCAAACAATTACATTCCAGTATTTTATTACATTACGTGGATATTGACTACAAGTAGCTATTGTCGGGCAACCAGAGAAAATTAGCAGTGATACTGTTTAAAACTGTAAATGCAGTATATTTGGATTTGGAACTAAATCATTCGTTTCCATGTCTTATGTATCAGTGACAATTATGTTGACTGCAACCCAAATCTATTTGATTACCCCTAACTCCATAATATCTAGTACTTAATATAGTTATAAGCTTTTCAGTTGAAAATGAAAGAATTATTTGTACTGGTAGTTGTAAACAATTTTATAAATATTTCCTTTGGATTCCTTTGCGAACTCTTTGTCAATTATTATTTATGATACTATGGTATGATCCCAAACTGTTTAGAGAAGAAAGGGAGGCTGTGGTGTGCGCACGTAAACTTATCCTATTTCTTTCCAATACATTAGCTCTATATATTAGCTCTCTGTCTATCATCTCCTACGTGCGCTTATCATTAGAGAGCGGATTTCTGTCGGGCTAGACAAGGCCAAACTCGGTACGGCTCGTACGGGATGGGAATTCATTGCATTTACCGGCTGCACTTCGTTTATTTGAGATTAGAATAACGCTGCTTCGTTGCACTCTGCTGTTAATTCCAGTTCTCATTTAGTTAGCCATTTGATTCATAAATCGTTAATTGTATTTATGGAATCAAGTGACAATTAAATTCAGTGATTACCTATCACCCGCTACTGAGTCCCGGCGATGCAGCACGTCCCCACTAAAATCGTGACGTAGCCCGACAGAAATCCGCTGTCTACTTATCATAGACTCCTTTTATCTAAAAAGTATGCAGTATTTCCCGCGCAAACCAGCAGTCAGATCTCCAGATTGCCTGGCCTCGTGATTTGTCACGTATTTTTAAATAACATACAGTTTTCTAAATTTGCTGAAGTACTACTAAACTACAAAAATAAATAAACGGGTAAATTATATTCTCAAATTATAACTCCGAATTAAACATGCAATGTGAAAAGTTAATGCCGTGAACCCTACTAAGTATAAATTAAACGTCATTGTTTGCTAACTACATAATTGATTAAACTTATTGTTTTAATAAGGTAAGGTATTAAACTAGACAGAGACTTGAATACTTTTTTTTACTAATTTTAATAATTCTTGTAAATGAGTAGATATTTAATAATAAAGCAATACATATTATTATCCGCAAAAAATGTATTTGCATGCTTTTGCATAAACTTCCTGCACTTATAATTTATAAGCAGTATTTTGGACGATGCCCAATTAATTGATAAATAATAGTATGTTGATGTAAAAAGAGTATCATTACATTACTTCAAATTCTTTTAACTTTCTTTATGTAGTATATCCTGTTTCCAAAATCTCAAGAAATTAGGGTTATGGTAATTTAATTCAATCTGGGTGCTTAGGGTAAAAACTCAATAAACAACAAATGAAAAAGTATGTTATTTTTAAAAATTATATAACATTTATTGCTGTAAAAGTTGGAGATGACGTTATATGATGGGGAGGATGATTACAAATGTTGGTCAGCGTTTTATCAACCGGAAACGAGAGACCTATGTTTTCGTATTATAGGAGTCATGAAACGTTGAGAAGCCATAAAAGTAGCCAGTCGCCCGATGAACTTGATTACAATACTTCCTTAGCTTACGCTCGAGACATAAAAAAAAATAAACAACAACATTTGGATTTAATAGCTTTTGATATCTGGTATACCTAAACAGTGAGTGAATTTTATGCGGCTATTATTACCATTACATATAACCATCCACTTAAATTAATTGGTAAAAAAATTTACCCTTAAATAAGTTATTGTAAAGTTATTTTTATTTACACGCGTATAATTGCACAACATTAATTGTTAGACAAATAGAATGATAAAGAAAGGCAATGTCATATTAAAAAACAAATTACTCGTTTCGATGTAAGGTACCTTATATAAGTTAACAACATACATCTATTTAGTTATTATAGGTAAAATTCTAATACGGAATTTATTCTAGAAGTAAGTCGTAAATTGTAAATAGCTATAAATTCGGAAATAATTCTTTTTAAAAGATACAAGTCAAAAATGTATTAGGCATGATTGTCAAGAAACATTCCAATTCTGTTTCAAATTTGCAAGCATTTTATGTCAAAAGCTGATTTTTGCAAATGTTCCAGTAATAAATTTCGAAGCAAAATCCACCTAAACAGATTTTGCTTCGAAATTTTAATTTTCATATTACTTTTACAACATTTTAATCTAAAAAATTAAAAATGTATCTATTATTTGTGATTATTGATGTAGAAATATCGTTTCTACAAATAAGAATACTACAAAAAATTGTGAACTCTTTTACTGGTATGCAGCGTTATAAATCTTGTTCACTAAAACTTTAGAGAAAATAAGTTCAATCATTCCCGAGAAAAAATTAAAGAAAAATATTACTGTTTAGTAAAAAATTAAATTATTTGTTTATCGAACAACAAATCTATTTTAAATTTAAATTTGTAAAATTTCGAATCTAATAATTTGAAAATATTTGTAACATCTATAACAGAAAAAGAGTTGCACAAATTACAGTTGCTTTTTTTAATTTCAGATTCATCAAAATTGTTAAGTCTCTTTTTTATTTATTTCACATTATACTTATTGTTCTGCGCGTGAAGTTGAATACGATTTCTTTCCCAACCCCAAACCTAACGCTGAAAAGCAAAACAACAAGGAAGTACGTAAAAACGGATAACGGTACTCTATCGATTTCTGCTTGGACATGCGGCAAATCAGCACTGAATCTAAACTATGTTTCGCTTCGCCCAAGTGCGACATGCGGCAAATCTGCACCAAAACAGTAGAGGCGAAAATCCCTCGGATGCGATCTGGATATGCGGCAAACCAGTTCTAAGGTGACGTGTTATTGTCAGAGTACTAACACTAGTCAATGAATGACGTCACCGCAGAGAGTGACATCTGTCAATATTGTCTACCAGTTCTACGACCACCTCAGCAGTCTTGAGACTGTTCTCCCGTCATCTATATTCTGTTAGTAATTGCTATTAAATAAGTTTAAAAATGTGTTAATTCAGAAAAAATTCCTAGTGTTATGCACGCATTTGAATTCTTTGGTGCAATCTACTTACCTGCAATGGATAATTTTCATTTGAAAGTCAATTAGAATGTTTTTCATTACTGATGAACATTAATTAACAATATTAACAACATCATTATTAATTCAATCAATAAACCTGAGCTTATGATTTTGTTGTTGATAGATACATATTAATTATTTATTAACGTCAGATATCGAAACGCATAAACCAAATATAATTCTCGAATAAAATTATGAAATTAATGTGTTTGTGTTCGCTGGAAAGTGCCATATGACGCTTCAGCGAAGAGTAAATTTTAGCTACCTACGTTAATTCATCGTTATGAGATAGTAACAAAAAGCTTAAGATAAAACTATTTTCCTTGTAGTGTTAATTACCTGTCTGTGAAGCAACTTAACGTCAAAACTAATTACGTCACTGACGGGTTCTCCTTGGGGAGTAACGTAGTAGACCAGCAGTTGGCTCACTGGAGCCATTACGGAGCGAACTGTGAAACTGAAAAACATACAATATTAGAAAAATTGTCAATTTTGGTTGCAATAAAATGTTTAAATCAGTAGATAAAAGAATTTGAAACAAACAATATTTTCTTCAACACTTTATATACTATACATATATAATTTAGTAAATAACTTATTTACATTTTTAAAAATGAATGTTTAAAAGAGTTTAGATTAGCTATTTTGGCACTTTAGTATACATAGACATAAAACACTTAGTCAAATGTACTATCTTTGTTGGGTTCACATAACATTGTCTTTCTCACAAGAAGAAAGAGAACCTCTTATGTAAAATAGTTAAGTTATCGATTCAGTCCTGCATTTGGCAAATACCGATAACTCTGAAAACGACATTACCTCCAAGTCCTCTCCACTCAAACTTAATAAAAAGAAAACAAAGACGCCTGGTGTTGAAATTAGTAACAAAGTAATAGACAAAGGCCTCTGACAACGTCTAGAATTCTCGACGAGCTCCTTATCGAAATTGCTGATTGCTATTTCAATGGAAATTTTGTATTCAAATTACATTCAGCAGAGTAAATCTGAGATGCTAGTTGGCCGATGCAGTGAAGTAAATTGCTTCAACTTTGTTCCATTTAACACAAATGATGCAAAATTTGTTAGGAAGCACATGCTGTTATGTAATTATTGAGGAAGCTTGCAATTATTAATATAACGGCACTTCTGCATAATAATAATAACCGAAAGCAGCCATTTTAAATGTCTCTGCCTAAGTGAAGAAGCGATCGCGTTAAAATGATTCCCTCATTTTATTCTTGTTTAAGTAACCTATTTTCTCTGGAAGGTTTTCCATGTAATTTTATTACGACCCACCAACAATAACTTGGAAAGTTTTAATTTTATGATAACGTGCTGCCTCCATTATCAGTGTTTTTATGACACAAAACATAACCTATAATCCGTAAAATGAATGTAGCATCGCGAAGATCTCCAGAGACAGGAGTCAATTTCACAGCTGGGTGGAACTTGAACTTCATTAAACACAACGTATGAAAGGAATCAGACAACTACTTCCTAAGTTTACTTGCAATAAAACAAAGCGATGTCGCACAATTATCAGCATTTCTGCACTGCCATAATAATAAACTTAGTTTTGGAAATCGTACGGTTCAATGAGACAAGAGAATGGAAAACCGGAATAGATTTAACGTAAGCTAAATTTGGTGCAACCGATTTAGCGTTTACATAAGTATTCCACTAAATTCTTAAACTTCTAATCGCTGAGACTTAATTTAATTTGTCGAAAAGAGAAAAATTATGGTCGATATATTGTTTAAATCGGTTGTTTCAATAAACTGGACAATTTTTGGTTGCAAGAGTAGAAATTGGAAGTTCGATATTTGATTTCAAATAATTAGAAGCAGTTCAACTTTTTTTCTGTGATATTTAGACATATATTATTATTAGTATTTACAGTTTGTCTCACAGTTTCAAAATCTTCAAAATATAATGACAGTAAACAAAGCAATAATTTCTTAAAAACTATTGATTTATGATTAAATTGATTCAAACATTCAAAATACGCTAAAGAACTGAAAGTAATAACACTTTTGACATGTAACGTGTATATTAACGTACATTTTTCATTTTTACTTTCCAAGCGTAAGCTAAGGAAGTTTGTAATCGACTCCATCGGGCGACTGTCTAATTTCATATTCTCTCGGTGGGTCATGACCCCTAGAGTACGAAAAAATAGGTCTCCCATTTTCCTCTGTCTGTCTGTCTATCAACCACAAAAAATTGATTACGTCATCTCAAAAGTTTGCCGAATAAATCCTTTCAAAAATGTGCAAAATATGATCAGTCTGTACTTGTAATTTATCACTGCATTCATATTTTTTAGATTTACTTATACAGGGTGACTCAAAAAAATTAATGAATCAGTCAATTTATTATTGATCAAATTAAGAACGAGCCATCTGATTTTCTCGAAAATGTGAGAAGACGCTCGTCTTTGTAACAATAAAATAATGATAAGGTAAGCCTTATAATAATAACATTCATATTATTTTGTTCAATTAGGGCGTATGAATAATTTTAGTCATGTGTTTGGAGGCGATAAACTCATTCAGATCAAACTAATGTTCACGTGACATTCTTCTGATGTATACACATCAACATTTTAAACATACGCGTATTGCTCAGATACCATTATTCCCGTTGATAATGTTGTGTAAAATTATTTTACAATGTCCGTACTTGTGCAGAGACGTTTTATACGGATTTACTTGTGATGCTGGACTATCAGACTCCCGAAGTTAAGGGACCCCTTCTGGCCTAAATGTAACAGAAATTTTTTTGTTTTGTTTTTAATTTGGTTGTTACAAAAATACGATTTCGTCTTCGACTGATCGTTTGTTGACACATATGATCTCGAGATTGTGCAAAATGCAAAATTGGCCATTTCCGGGCGTTCCACTAATTTATGACTTGCAGCCAGGCACTCAATAAAGTATACAGCATACTTTTGAAATGATTGCATTTGCATTAATATTTTTTTGATTTGCTTATTTAGGGTGATGCAAAATATGATGAATCAATACTTGTGATATATCATTTTATATTTGCATGAATAGATTAATTTATTTTATTGATTAAATCAAGAATGGCTTACTCCATTTTTCTCAAAATTGTGGGGGGTGGGGAATTTAATACGTTATTGCATATTACTGCACCAACCTAAGTTGAAATACGTGTTCTTTTTGCAAAGTAAAAACTTATTTGAAACATACGCGTAGCATGCTTCTTTACATTTACTTTAGCATTACATATGTACCTACATATTTTTATTTCAACTTATAGGGGTTCTCATAAAAAATTTAAAATCCACAAAATCAAATTTTATAATTTTCCATAAATGCTGGATATGTTTCATTGTACTTTTGGAGCGAGAAAAGTTCTGTCGAAATAATTTCCGACCAATTTTTACTTCCCGAGCGTAAGCAAAGGAAGTATTGTAATCGAGTCCGTCGGCCGACTCTCTACTTTTACGTTTTCTCGATCTTTCATGACCCCTAGAAGACGAAGAAATAGGTCTCCCATTTCCGTCTGTCTGTCCGTCTGTCCGTCTGTCCGTCTGTCCGTCTGTCCGTCTGTCCGTCTGTCCGTCTGTCCGTCCGTCTGTCCGTCCGTCTGTCCGTCCGTCTGTCCGTCTGTCCGTCTGTCCGTCTGCCGTCCCGGATTTTTATTAGACAGATAATCTCCGAAAGTACTCGACCGATTGTTGTGAAATTTTGTACTTATATTAAGAATATCATGTAGATGGTAAAACGCTAACCAAAATTTGTCTAATCATCCCCACCACTAATGCGATGATGTCACTTCAAAATTGTACATAGTAAATGGGTTTTCAATTGTATAAAATAACATAGTCCTACACATGTAGTTTACAACTCTGAATCGACTTTTCACCCGAAACGTCCAGATTTTTGGAAAAAAAATCAAAATTATAAAACAACATTTTGAAATTTAATTTTTAATCTGCTAACGAGAATGCTTTGAAATGTTGCAGATGTTTTAAGGCTATAAAGAGCATCATAAATCTTTGGTCAAAAAATATTTGCTTATCCCCTCCAAAAACTTGATGACGTCAGCTCAAAAGTTTGTGGAGTAAATCATATCTAAATGTACAAAATATGATGAGTCTGTACTTGTGATCTATCACTCCATTCATATTTTTTGGATTTGCATATACAGGGTGACTCAAAAAAATTAATGAATGTGTAAATTTATTTTACTGATTTACTCAGAAACTACAAAACCGAATGCTTTGAAATCTTGCAGATGTTTTAAGGTTATAAAGAGCATAATAAATGTTTAGTCAAAATATATTTGCTTATCCCCTCCAAAAAATTGATGACGTCAGCTCGAAAGTTTGCCGAATAAATCCTATCTAAACTGTAAAAATATGATGAGTCTGTACTTGTGATCTATCACTCCATTCATACAAGGCCGTACCGAGTTTGGCCTTGCCTAGCCCGACAGAAATCCGCTCTCTGGATATTACACACCGGCGCCGTATACGTGAGTAAATTGTTTCGTTATTTTATTGATTATAAGAAATCAATATTCAAAACGACCCAATTCATTTTCCCGAAAATTTGGGAATACAATAATTTTATTCTTAGTATTACACTACATCTATCCCAACTGATATACGTGTCCTTGCAAAAATGTTGATGACGTCATCACAATTTTTTTTTAAATTCCCACTACAAAAATGTAATGAGAAAAAAAAACACAATAGGCATGCAGTCGTCAAGTTTCCGACAGCGAGGGAAGTACTGTCTAAACTCCTTAGACCAATTTTTTCTGTTTCTAATAATTACTGAGATATTGAGATATTGGAAAGACCCTCTGTAAGAGTCCAGTTTTCCACAAAAAGACAGATTGCGTACAAATTTTATTATACAATAGTTAACGGGTATTTTTTCAGATTAATCCTGATTATTTTTTACTTCCCGAGCGTAAGCAAAGGAAGTATTGTAATCGAGTCCGTCGGCCGACTCTCCACTTTTACGTTTTCTCGATCTTTCATGACCCCTAGAAGACGAAGAAATAGGTCTCCCATTTCCGTCTGTCTGTCCGTCCGTCTGTCCGTCTGTCCGTCTGTTGTCCCGGATTTTATTAGACAGATAATCTCCGAAAGTACTCGACCGATTGTTGTGAAATTTTGTACTTATATTAAGAATATCATGTAGATGGTAAAACGCTAACCAAAATTTGTCTAATCATCCCCACCACTAATGCGATGACGTCACTTCAAAATTGTACATAGTAAATGGGTTTTCAATTGTTTAAAATAACATAGTCCTACACATGTAGTTTACAACTCTGAATCGACTTTTCACCCGAAACGTCCAGATTTTTGGAAAAAAAATCAAAATTATAAAACAACATTTTGAAATTTAATTTTTAATCTGCTAACCAGAATGCTTTGAAATGTTGCAGATGTTTTAAGGCTATAAAGAGCAT